TTTTTTTGTCTCTCCCTTTCTTTAGTTTCACTGCCGCCATCTTGTGGATCAGCGCCATCTTGGGTGGGTCGAGTTGTCTCTCTGCCATTTTGTAAGTCATCGCCACCTGTGCCAATTGGACCAGTTTCTGTTACCGGAAACAGTAAAGGAGGCGCCATTTTTAAGGTATCTGTTTTTGGAGCGTGGGTTATTTCTGTTACCGGGAACATCATTGTTGGTGCATCTAAAGGGGGACGAGAGACTACATCTAGTGACCGAAGTTGTAAAATGAGTCTTTGTCTCTCCTGTTTTAATTAAAGCTGTTGTTGTAAATAATGGATCTCTGTCTCTAGATCAAGGAGATCAGGAGGTGGACCGGGCGGCTTTTGGAAGCCAAATGGAGGGTTATCTATCTTTTTTGTTATGCCTTTTGTCACTAAGTTAGGATCGACAGATAGCGCAGGGGCTGCAAAAGGGGGTCTCTCACCCTGATACTGAATACCTCTTCTGCTAGTTGTGACCAGTTAATCTTTGGGAGGTCAGAAAGATCAGGATATATAGGCTTATATGACAGAGGGGGTGTGGCAGCACCAAGCTCTAAGAAGTGCTGGCAGCCAGTTTGAATGGTGGAGCCATTTTGAGTGTCCCCACGTGCTTCAGAAAGGGGAAATGGCAGCAAGTCGCCATTTTGGGAGTCTCTGGAGGGGGAGAAGTTGCCATCTTGAGGGGGCTCCGGAATATCAAGAACCACAGAGCCAGGAGAGCTGGGTGCTTTGGATGAGTCTGGCGGCTGTGGGGTACAATTGCAGGAGGCAGATAATGCAGCCTCACCCTGAGCAAGCATCTCTGCAGTCTGGGGATCTGCGTGATGTTGCGTCAGCAGCTCAGAGATTAAAGTCCAATATGCATAAGAAGTTACCAGAATCTTTTCCGGACCGAAAACTCTATAATAGTCTTTTTTTTTTTTTTTTGGTCTTTTTCATTTTTATCGGTACCGGGGATCGAACTCACGACTGCCTGCTTGCAAGAAAGGTGCTTATGCCTCTGAGCTAAATCCCCAACCCCCTCTATAATAGTCTTTGAGAGCGTCTCCTACTCTTTGCCATCTTTTTGAGTCAATCGAGCCCTCTAGAGGGAACCAGGGACATGCAGAATGCACAAACTGAAAGTACTGTAATAAATCTTTAGTTTTAACCTTAATCCCTCTAACCTTGAGTGCCTCCCTGAGACCATTTATGAACAATTTGTGTTCACTAAGTGCTTGCCCCATGCTAATCCCATTCACCTACCATGTTTTAGGCGAAACGTAAGGTGGCCGTCCGCACAGATCACAGGGACAAAGTCCCAAAACAGTCACGCGAGCCAGCGATTTACTCCCTTGAACGGTCTTGCATCAGTATCCCTCATGCCAGGTTGAACTCACTTTGGGCGACACTTGATCCGGCCTGTGGATCAGTCTGTGGGCGTCGCCTGGAGAGGGGACAGAGATGGGGGGCTGGGCAAGAGGAGAGAGAGACGGAGACAAGATGAAAAGTTCCAATCAAGTCTCATTTATTCTAAAAATGGCAACAACTTATATAGGGTGGAGGTGGGCCAACGGGGCAGGAAGAGGGTACAGGGTGCTATCTGATAAGTCATCGTCACATCCAGATATATGACATAAGCAGGAGGGGATTATGGGTAATGTAGGCAGACGTGAGGAACATGGGAAATGTAGGCGGATGCGGCAGAGGCCCACAGGAGGGCAAGATAAGGTGCCAGCAGTGAGATATGCTGTTCCCTACATGTAAACATATACTGAGTCCATTTGTTCATAGGTTTGGCTCAGTTCTGATATTTTTTTGCTGAGTTTTTGTCTAGTTGATCTATCTCTTTGTGACAGTGGAATATTAACGTTCCCTGTTACAATTGTGTTATTGCTTATTTGATTTTTCATGTCTATTAATATTTGTCTTACATAGTTGTATGCATTTGTCTCATATGTATTGGTGCATACATATTTTTGATTGTTATCTCCCTCTTTTGAAATTTTCCCCTAACAAGTATGTAGTGACTTTCTTGATTTCATTGAATTTTGTCAATTTTTTTTTCTTTTGCCATTTATAGAGAACGCTTTCCTGTTCTCATCGTGGTTCAGGAAGGTTTATAATTGTAATCCCAAGAAGTTACTGGAATTCTAGTTAGTTACTTCCAATCTACCACTTCCATTGCAATCTACTGCAAGAACCGACACTAAGACATATATACAGTTATGAGGAAACCAAGGGGTCCTAAGTCCAGCCAAGATGGTGATTTACTGGAACAGAGACGTCAACCCAGACCCCTTCCCAGGTTTTATTAATTCTCCATGAGGGAAGGGGTTCTGGGTGAATGACAGAGTAGCTGGAAATACGGGAAAACCAAAACTACCATGAGCTGGGCTAGGTAGGAGGTCTGAGATCACCTCTGTGATATGCAGAAGACAACAAATGCAGGGAGAGTAATCTGCATAACACAACTGAGGTAGTTTCTTTTTTTTTTTTTTGTCTTTTTCATTTTTATCGGTACCAGAGATCGAACTCATGACTGCCTGCTTGCAAGGCAGGCGCTTATGCCGCTGAGCTAAATCCCCAGCCCCTGTCCCTTGTTATTTTTAAGAGATCTTTCCTTTTGTGATTACTAACCATGATCTTTTCTTCAGGTTCTGAAAGTCTATCTTCAGCCTCATTCAAATGACTTTGCCAGCTTTCAGTGAAATTTTCAATTTCCTTGTTATCTTTTTAAATCCATCTCATGCATTCTCTTTCCTATATTGTTCTTTCATGGTTCTGGTGCTGCCTCGGAGGACACAGCCTGTCCTTTCCACTTTTAGCTTTAGTTTTTCTGTCATTGAACTAAAAATGACAGGCATGACACCTGTTCTTTTGTTCACTTTAAGTGTACAACTGGAAAATTTTATTGCCTTTTTCCTCTTACTCTCTTATTCTGGTTAGACAGTCACCTTACACAGATCATTGTTTCTAAAATTCTCCTAGGGAGGTAACAATTTTTTGTTTTATGATTTACTTCTGATCTTATGCTTATAAAATATAACACTGAATTTTTATTTTAATTTAATACAAGCAGATATTTTAAAATATAAAACACTTCTATTTAAAAACCGAAAGTTTCATAACAAAACAATAAGAGATGGGGCTGGGGATTTGGCTCAGCAGCATAAGTGCCTCCCTTGCAAACAGGCAGTCATGAGTTCGATCCCTGGTATCAATAAAAATGAAAAAGACAAAAAAAAAATCAGAGAATAACAATAGTGAGTACACTGTGTATCATGATCTTATAAGAATGACCAAACTATGTGGTTGAGGATTTATCTCAGTGGTGGTTGTGAGCTGATCCCCAGTACCAAAAAACAAAAAAGAATGATCACACTATGACTCAGAGAACAAGTTTTAAACAAAGAAACAAAAAAATTCTTTCTTGTAAAGAAGAAACAAATAACTGAAAGGACAAAACTTTCATTTCAATGAATAAAAGATGCTAGTAGTATAAATGAAATAAATTAGCATTTGTCTTAAAATAATTTTGAAAGAACAGAATAGATAATTTGGGAAGTTTGTGTGTGTGTGTGTGTGTGTGTGTGTGTGTGTGTGTGTGGTATCAGGAGTCTAACTCAGGGTCTTGCACTTGCCAGGCAAGCACTGTGATGCTGAGCTGTATCCCGAAATTTGGGGATTTTTTATAGCAGCACAGTTTATAATAATTAAATGTATATGTCCACTGTCCACATAGAGTGTGTATGTCCATTAATGGATGAATGGGTATTTATACTCAAGGGACAACTACTTTACCATAAAAAAATAAACTGTAGGGATTTGTGGCCAAATGGATGCAAGTCGAAAACATAATGTCAAGTAAAATAAGTCAGACATACAGTCTTAAATATCACATAGTTTGTCATATATGTGAAACTTTCTAGATAGAAAGAAAGCAGGAAAAAGTTCAAGAAACTGAATTTTAGAATATTAAAATTTAAAAAAGGTACAAAGTGAAAGTTTACTTTCTCCTTTCTGTTTTTTTTTGGGTGGGGGTGGATGCTAGATATTGAACTTGCACCAGATGAGCATGTGTTTGACTATTAAGCTACCCACCCAACCTTCCACATTTTTGTGATTAAATTTGACAGTATACTCAGTCAAATTTGGGAGGAGGTTGGTACCAGGGCTTGAACTCAAGACGCCTTACACTTGCCAGGTAGGCACTGTAGCATTGAGCCATATCCCTGGCCCTCCTCAGTCAAATTAATAAAAGTGTCTGGCACAGTTCCTTTGCTTCTTACAGCACAGATAACAGACTATTATGGATGACCTGTAGTCCATGGCTCACACTGAGTAGCAGTGTACTATTTGATAATTTTTAGAGTTTCTGTGGCAGAATTGTGAGCCTCCGTTAATAGCATATAAAACATGGGAAACCAAAACCAGGAGGAGAGTTACAAATAAGTTAACAATGTAAGTAGAAAACAAATATTTTGTAAAAAGGCAGTAATCCTAAAATACATCTCTGTACATTTGAAATGCATTGCTTGAGGCTTTTATTTTTTAATTAATTAATTACTTTTTATTACTAAAGATTAGTTTTCCCAAAGCAAGGTTTGTTGATTCCCTGCATAAAAACCAACTGAGAAGTTCTCGTTTTAAATAAAAAAAAACATATCCTAGCTGGGTGTGGGGGCACATACCTGTTATCCCAGCATTTGGAAGGCTGAGACAGGAGGATTGCAGTGAATTAAAGGCCAGCCTGAAGTATGTACAGACACTGTCTCAAAAAAAAAAAAAAAAAAAAAAAAAGCACATCCCCAGACTGTCTAAAATTATAGTCTCTTTAAGTGAAGCCTAGGAATGTGTATTTTTAAAGTAAGCCTCTGTTCTTTCTCCCCCAAGTAACTTTTATCATAGAATGTTATTGCTGTGATCATTTTAGTTGTATATGTGCATGTTAAACAAATGATGGGACAATTAACAATATTGTAAATTTTTTCCTAGTTGTGTCAGAGGAGGAAAATGAGCTAGGGCTCTTCTTAAAGTTTCAAGCAGAACGGGATGCAACCCAGGCCGGCAAAATGATGGATGCTACTGGCAAGGCACTCTGTTCCTCAGCTAACCAAAGGTTTACCATGGCTCTCATCATCTTTAAATGTGTAGTCATTATGGCAATTCTCACATGTATTTAAATTTGTAAATTTGGAGAGGAAAAGTCATTGATCATTCAATAGAGTTATTACAGTATATAACTATTTTTGATGCCTAACTCTTAATTATTAATTTTGTATTCAAAAGAATTACTTGAAATTGATTTTCTTGGTTGCCTTATTCCTAGAAAAACTTTTTGGCTGCATTTCAATTTCTTTCTTTTTTCCTTTTATTTTTTTAAGACAGGGTCTCTCTGTACAGTTCAAGCTGGTCTTGAGCTCACTTTGTAGCCCAGGCTGGTCTTGAACTCATGCTGCCTCAGCCTCCCGGGTGCTGGCATTACAGGTGTGCACTGCCACTCCTGGCAGCATTTCACCTTCTTAAGTGTTTTAATGTAGTAGAGTCACAGGATAGCTAATTTAAAAACTATTTTTCCTTCATGTTCTTTTTTTCTTTTTGGTAGTGCTGGAAAGAAAAACCAGGGAGCTTGTGCATGCTGGCTAAGTGCTTTACCTCTCAACTGTATATATGCATAAATGTATCTACTACACAGAATCTCCCACAATTATTAAATATAGCCAGTGTATTTCTGAAGAAACATGAAAACAAACAACGTGTGGTATGCACCTGTAGTACTAGCATTCAGGAGTCTGAGGCAGGAGAATCACCGCCAGTTCAAGGCCAGCCTGGGCTTCGTAGTGAATTAAAGTCCAACATAACCTACTTACAAATACCCTGTCTCAACTTTTCTTCACCACAAGAGAGGAAGGGAGGGAGGGAGGGAGGGAGGGAGGGAGAGAGAGAGAGAGAGAGAGAGAGACAGAGAGAGAGAGAGAGAGAGAGAGAGAGAGAGAGAGAGAGAGAGAGAGAGAGAAAATGAATGAGAATGGAACAGGTCTTCTCGGGCCTGTAATGATGATAATCCAACTTTGGTGGCTTTATTCAGAAATTCCACATCAGTGTAGAAGTCCATCTTGAAGGAACTGAGGAGGAGATACTCAGAATAGGGCTCTCCAGGGCTTCTAAGTCAAAAGTGGAGGAGCTAGATTTGATTTATGTTTCTCAAATATTTGTTTTGTCATCCCTCATTCTTATCTGCTAAGAACTCTACACTCATTAGTTCCAGTATTTATCTGCTATTCTAAAAATTTTCCATTACTTGTCAAATGAAAGGTTTTCTACTGTTTGAATTGGTTACTTTATGAGTCCAAGTCCTCTGTTATCACAACTCTTCTAAATAGAAGATTAACTTGGCAGGTTATACAAGGATTATTATTCCTAATGTAAAAATTATATATTTCTTAAAGTAAAGACAATATAAAAATCTCTATAATAATTCAAAGTTGGTAATCTTTGCTTTCTAAATCTCTTTAGCCATCTTTTAATTTCCTGTTTGTAGACTCCTGTTTATAGGAATGTGCTCTATGAATGATTTAAACCCTTATTTTACTTATGGGATGTACAACCCTCTAATTTTACCTCTCTGTCACTAGATTGGCTTTGTGTACTCCTCTGTCTCGTCTTAAGCAAGAAATTGCGACATTTAGTCAAAGGGCTGTGTCTGATACCTTGATGACAATTAATCGGATGGAGCAGGCACGCACAGAATACAGAGGAACTCTGCTGTGGATGAAAGATGTATCTCAGGAGCTGGACCCAAATACTTTAAAGCAAATGGAGAAGTTCAGAAAGGTATGAAAATATAACTTTTCCTTTTTTTTGGTACTGGGGATCAAACTCAGTATCAGATTTGCCACTGAGCTAAATCCCCAGCCCTCTTTTCCTTTTCCTGACACATAACATACAGAGCTGAAGTAGAATAATTTAATGAAGATTATAGTAGTAGTAGAATATTTTTGAAAACTTTTATTATAAAATTTTGGTTGCTTGAAGATTTTGGTTGAAATTGAAAAGTTTGTTACATTTCAACTCTTTCAGTGGCGTTTCCCCATCAACTTTTGTTTATCTAAGTGTTCACTTTTTTTTTCTTTTGTAGTGGTATTGGAGATTGAATTCAGAGGTACTTCACTGAGCTATGCCCCCAGGCCTTTATATTTTTCATACATGAGAAAAGATCTCACTGAATTGCCCAGGCTAACCTTGAACTTGTATTCCTACTGTTTGAGCCTCTTGAATAGCTGGGATATAAGTATGTGCCACTGTGCCCAACTCTGTTTACACTTAAAATATAGCTTACCTGGACTTTTGAAAATTGTTTGCAGGAAGAAAATAGTTATTACCAAGGGAAAATATATAATTTAAGTATAACTTTATGTAAAATGATTATTAATGCTAAGGAAAATAAAGGTTATCACATTTTTCATTTATGAAAGATAACATGTCAACAATAAACCAACATATAACAGTTATAACTATTAATGTAAATGGCCTCAATGCACCAATTAAAAGAAACAGACTGGAAGAATGGATCAAGAAACAACATCCAACCATATGCTGTCTACAAGAAACGCATCTAACCCAAAAGGATACTGACAGACTGAAAATCAAAGGATGGAAAAAAATACTTCATGCAACAGGAACCCAAAAAGAAGTGGAGGTAGCTATTCTGTTTGCAGACAATGTGAACTTCAAACCAAGAATGATCAGAAGAGATAAAGAAGGTCATTATATACTGGATAGGGGAAAACTTCAAGAGGAAGAGATAACAATCTTAAATATATATGCACCAAATTCCAGAGCACCCAGTTATATGAAGCAGGTATTAATAGAAAAGAAAAACCAAATTAGCAATAACACAATTATAACAAGAGACCTTAACCCACCATTGATATCAAGGGACAGATCAACCAGACAGAAAATCAGCAAAGAAATAACAGAACTGAATCACACCTGTGAACAAATGGACTTGATAGACATATACAGAGTGTTCCATCCAACAACATCAGAATACACATTCTTCTCAGCAGTAAATGGGACAGTCTCTAAAATAAACCATATACTAGCCCACAGAACATATATATATATATATATATATATGTTTTTTTGTCTTTTTTGAGACGGGGTCTCGCTATGTAGTTCGGGCAGACCTTGAGCTCACTTTGTAGCCCAGGCTTGTCCCGAACTCACAACGATCCTCCTACCTCAGCCTCCCGAGTGCTGGGATTACAGGCATGAGCCACACCCGGCTTAAACATATTTAAATAAATGCAAAAGAGTTGAAATTATCCCATGCATATTATCAGAACATATGCCATGAAATTAGAAATTAATGATAAAAGATACTGCAGAAATCCCACAAACACATGGAAACTGAATAACACACTCTTGAGTAATCAGTGGGTCACAGGGGAAATTAAAGAAGAAATTAAACAATATCTATAAGCAAACGAAAATATGAATACAACTTATGGGAATCTGTGGGATGCAATGAAAGCTGTCCTCAAAGGAAAATTTATTGCACTGAGTTCCCACATCAGGAAAACAGAACAAATACAAATAAATAACCTGATACTATACCTCTAACATCTAGAAAAAGAAGAGCAAGTCAAGCCCAAAGCCAAAAGAAGGGAGGAAATTATAAAAATCAGAGCAGAAATTAACGAAATGGAGACTAGGAAAACAATCCAATGAATCAAAGAGTTGGTTATTTGAAAGAATAAATAAAATTGGTAAGCCCCTAGGCAACCTTATAAAAAAGGGGAAGAAAAAGCTCAAATTCATGCAATAAGGAATGAAAAAGGCAAAATCACTATAGACTCTGTAGAAATACAGAAAATCATCAATACCTATGTTGAAAACCTCTACTTTCATAGGTTTGATAACATAGAAGAAATAGGTTCCTAGAAACATTTGAAGTACCAAAGCTACTTCAAGAAGATGTAAAACTGCTGAATAACCCAATTTCTATCAATGAAATTGAAAATGTAATTTAAGTCCATACCTACAAAGAAGAGCCCAGGCCCAGACGGATTCACTGGAGAATTCTACAAGAAATACAAAGACTTAATGCCAACACTCCTCAAACTCTTTAGTGAAATTGAAAGGGAAGCAATCCTTCCTAAGTCATTCCTGGAAGCAAATATTACTCTAGTACAAAACCTGAGAAAGACCCAACTAAAAAAGAGAACTATAGACCAATCTCCATAATGAACACAGATGCAAAAATCCTCAATAAAATATTGGCAAATAAGATGCAGCAAATTATCAAGAAGATTATACACCATGGCCAAGTGGAATTCATACCAGGCATGCAGGAATGGCTCAACATACATAAATCAATAAATGTAATCCACCATATGAATAAAGCCAAAAGTAAGAATCACATGATCATTCCTATAGATGCAGAAAAAACTTTTGATAAGGTCCAACATTCATTTATGATAAGAACCTTACAGAAAATTGGAATAGGGGCTGGGGATTTAGTTCAGTGGCATAAGCGCCTGCCTTGCAAGCATGTGGTCATGAGTTTGATCCCCGGTACTGATAAAAAAAAAAAAAGAAAATTGGAATAGATGGTCTTTACCTCAAATGATAAAGGCCATCTATAACAAACCAACAGCCAATACCATACTAAATGGCCAAAAACTGAAGGCCTTTATCTTAAAATCAGGCACAAGACAAGGATGTCCCTTCTCACTACTCCTATTTAATATAGTACTGTAAAAACTAGCCAGAGCAATTAGACAAGAGAGAAAAATAAAAGGGATAAAGATAGGAAAAGAACAAGTTAAATTACATTACTTGCGGATGACGTGATACTCTATATAGAAGACCCCCAAAACTTGATTGAAAAACTCCTAGATATAATAAATAAATTCAGCAATGTAGCTGGATACAAAATCAATACTCAAAAATCAATAGCATTGCTATATACTAACAACAAAATCACAGAGAAATAAGAGAAGCCACACCCTTGACACTAGCAACCAAAAAATGAAATATTTAGGAATTATTCTCACTAAAGAAGTAAAAGATCTGTAGAGGGAAAATTAGAATCCACTGAAAAAAGAAATTGAAGAGGATCTCAGAAAATGGAAAGACATCCCTTGCTCATCGATAGGGAGAATAAATATTGTGAAAATGGCCATTCTCCCAAAACTGTTATACAGATTCAATGAAATCCCAATAAAAATACCATCAACATACCTCATAGATCTGGAGAAATCATTCCTAAAATTCATCTGGAACCAGAAGAGACCTAGAATAGCAAAGACAGTTCTAAGCAGCAAAGGCAAGGCAGGAGGCATCACAATCCCTGACTTGAAGTTATACTACAAAGCAACTATAGGAAAATCACCATGGTACTGGAATCAAAACAGAGCCGAAGATCAATGGAATAGATTAGAAGATATAACCACAACTACAAAAGCACTCAACCACCTTATTTTTGATAAAGGGGCCAAACATGTTCACTGGAAGAACGACAGTCTCTTTAATAAATGGTGTTGAGAAAACTGGCTCTCCATATGCTGAAAACTAAAACTAGACCCATGCCTATCACCATGTACTAGATTAAAATCTAAATGGATCAAAGATCTGGATTTTAAAACAGAAACACTAAGTCTATTGGAAGACAAATTGGGTAAAAACCTTGAAGACATAGGGGTAGGTAGAGAATTCATGAACAGGAATCAAACCGCATGGGAAGTACTTCCCAGAATCAATAACTGGGATCACCTCTTATTAAAATGTTTCTGCATGTCAAAAGAAATCTCCAGCATAGTGAAAAGAAAACCCACAAACTGGGAAAAAAATCTTAGTGAACTGTCCCTCAGACAAAGGACTTTTGTCTAGAACATATAATGAATTTTTAAAAAAATTAGACCCCCAAAATTCAAATATCCAATCCAAAAATGGGCATCTGATCACAGTTCTCAGATGAAGAAGTACAAATGGCAAATAAATACATGAAAAATGTTCATCATCATTAGTCATTAGAGAAATGCAAATTAAAACCACACTGAGATTTCATCTTGCTCCTGAAAGAATGGCCAGGATCAAGAAAACTACCAACAACAAATGCTGGAGAGGCTGTGGGGAAAAAGGAACTCTCCTGCACTGTTGGTGGGGGTGTAGACTGGTGCAACCATTGTGGAGGTCTTTCTGGAGATTTCTCAAAAAGCTGGGATTGGAAGTCTCATTTGTTCCTGCTATTCCACTTCTAGGCATATTCCTAGAAAACATTCCTGAAAACATCATACCACAGTGATAATATGTGCACCCATGTTTATAGCAGCACAATTTATAATAGCCAGATCTTGGAAACAACCTAAGTGTCCATCAACTGAGGAATGGATAAAAAATATGTGGTATTTTTATACAGTGGAGTACTACTCAGCTATAAAGAATTGAGATATTTATAAAGATGCAGCTTGAGACCATACTCATAAGCGAAATAAATCAAACTCACATGTATAAATACCAAATGGTTTCCCTAGTGTAAAAAATGGTAAGAATACATAAAAGTATATGGTAATCGTGATTCCCCATTATACTGTTTTGAAGCCTTATAATGTTTTCATTCATTAGTTGGAATGGTTTTATTCTGGGTTGTTTGATTTATTGTCTGTGATGATATAAACAGCTATTTTGAAGAAAACAAGACACTATAATAGCTAGTGATGATTTAATATCATCTCGTACTGAAGTCCCACCAAGCTTTTGTTCTTCCATTTCCATCGGTTTTATCATGTTGTATCTTATTGGATTTTATTATATGTGATAGTATAAATAAAATTTTGTATAGACAAATAATATAGTAACCATTGTTCATTTTCTGTTCGTTGGTTCTGAATACCCTGTAATACTTTCATTCTCTTGAATGGTTTTACACTGTTTTGTTGTATTTGATGCTATAGTATATGAAGGTATACTCAAGAATTTCAAGGAAAGAGACACTATGGTAACTGCTTTATTTTGGGTTGTCTTGTGGTAAAACACTATGTTGCTTAAATTGTTCTCTTCTAACCTATGTTGTTATATCCTTTTTTATCTTAATCTTTTTTAAAATAAAATAGAAAATAAATAAAATTCAAATTAATAATATATTTTATCAAATTTTTCATTCTGTCACAATATAAAATTTGATCATGAACCCTGTAAATAACTTGTCTATATATGGGCATATGCTTTTGCCAGATAAGCTTTGTATTATAAGTATATCCCTTAACTTTACCAAATATGGATATTAAAATTAATTTCAAATTAATTTACCAAATATAAAGGAAGCTGTAATAAAGCTTGTAATTTACCTTGTGCCAGCTGTTTTAAATAGTTCTTCTTACTGATTATTCTCAACAAGTCAACCACGACCACCCCTTACGCTCTCCCTTTCCCAGTTCTTGATAAAATTTAGTTCAGGTGAGTGGTTAAACAACATTGTGAATGCACTAAATGCCATTGAATTTTATGCTTTAAAATGGATAATTGTTTTTTTGTGAATTTTACCCTAATTAGAGAAAAAAAAAAAACATGATTACAATCCAAATTCCTATCTGTACCCAAAAAGCTCCACGAGATCTGAAGCTGGTCCCTAAGCCAGCCTCATCTTGTGCTTGTTTTGTGTACCCAGGGAGGATAGTCTCTGCTTTGTTCCCTCCTCTTCTGCACACAATAAGCTCTTTACCCACTCTCAGGACATTTGTTCTTGACGTGTCCTGGTCCTGGAATACTCCCCCAGAGTCAGCAGAGCCTACTCACTATCTTACTTTCCTGTTTATGTCTTAGTGAGTGTAAGGCCTTCCTTGGTCAGTTATTAAAAGCAGTCACCCATTTCTGCTCACTTATTCACTGTCCTTGTGACATGAGGTGATTTTATATATTTATGTAGTTCTTTTTCCCTGTGCCTCCCTACCCAAGAATGGTGGGAGAACACACTGTTTTGTTCACCACAGCATTCCAGTGCCAAGAGCAGTGATTTGTGCAAACTAGACACTTTATAGTTATTGACTGAATACATTTGAAAATTTACACTACCTGATATCTGCCTCACTCTAGATCTAAGAAATATTATAAATGTTTCCGTGATTCAGAAATACTGCTTCTCACCATTTGAATTAGGTCCCTTTCCATTTATTCTTTTGTTCTTAGATAAGTACTATCCACAATCCTAAACATTAAACATCTTAGATGCTTCTTTGGAGGGGTAACTAGGGATTGAACTCATGACCTTGTGCTTGTCAGGCAGGTGCTAACGCTGCTGAGCTAAATCCCCTGCCCAAGATGCTTCTTTTTATTGGAATATTTATTCTTATGAACTATATAATTTCCATCTGTCATTCATAGTAAAGAAATCTACTGGGAAAAATTTCTTATAGTTGGTAAAAGTAATCGAAAATTTCATTATTCATGTCCTATTAGTGATTCAGGGAAAGGGAATTGATATTATTTATTAGAATTCCATGCATGTAAAAATATTTGTTATGAACTTGTGTGGTTCTATGTTACTGGCAGTAACTCACAGTCTTATGATTGCAGGTACAGATGCAAGTGAGAAATAGTAAATGCTCCTTTGACAAGTTAAAGAGGGATGTTTGTCAGAAAGTGGATTTGCTTGGAGCCAGTCGCTGCAATACGTTGTCTCACTCTCTCGCTACCTACCAGGTACCCACCACCATGGTTAGCATGTCCTTACAGAAAAGTGGTGAGATTTCTTTTTAAAGTTGACTAAAGTATACAAAAAATTATATAACTGATCATATATCTTTGACTGCACCATAATTGACTTACTGAAGTTATAACGGAGAACAATAAACTTCTAAGCTAACAAAGACCTTAACTCATGTACCCCTAAAGTAAGTGGCTGCTTGCTGTTTTGGGGAGTCTGCCTAATTCAGTTCCATACAGGGAAATTCAGGAGTTTGGAAAGAATGCACTTAAAAATAAAAACTGTGTGATCATCTGTGCAGTGTAATGCCTGAAGCAAAATAGCTATTAGTTAATTGTCCTTTATTCTCTCCATTCATCATCTTCACTTTTTTGTTTTTTGTTTTGGTACCAGGGATCGAATTCATGACCATGCGCTTGCAAGGCAGGTGCTTAGGCCAGTCAGCTGAATCCCTGGTCCCCACATTGACTTTCAACGGGAATCTTGAAGCAACAAGGGAAATTTTCAGTTACTTGAGTTAGCTTAAGGACACAGTTTGGGAGCAAGTCAGTTTGAACCCTCGATGAAAGGCCAAATTTAATGATAAATATCTTCTCCAAAAATTATGTATGCTTACCAAATTAAAGATTATACATATATTGCTCCTTGTGTCCAGGTTGATATTTCCAAGCTTTTAATACACCTCCTTTGGATTCTCCAGTATTCTTATCCATGAGTTTTTCCCCTCTTAGCTGCAATCACTTACAGATGGTTCCAGTGTACATATTCTGGTGCAGTGAATAGATAGGCACACATGTATGCAGACATTGGTGCTCATTTTTGTGCAAACTTACGATATATGATTAATTCTTGTTCCCCAACTTGAACAATTGAATTTACTCCCTGCTACTTCTTACTCAGTGACTATTTGTCTACACTACAAAGGAAGGAGATAAAATAGTGAACAAATCATTGAGGTGAAGCAGAACTGTATTGTCACCTTTTCTTTTTCTGCAGAGAACATTGCTGAGATTCTTGGAGAAAACATCTCAAATGATGCCCCAAATCCATGAGACCTGTACTGGCTCTCAGTATGATTTTGTGGCTCTCAAGGTATACTTTTCCCCATGTTTCCTTGCATACCTATGTTATACTTCATTTGAAACTATTTTTTGAACATTGAAATATAGCATCAAAACTATTTTTTGTAAAGTTTATTTTCAAAAACATTGGGAAGCATTTTTCTACACTCATTCAGCCAAGGGTCAGCACCTGCCTGATGCCAAACACTGCCAGTAATGCTAAAATCCAGGTAATGCTGCTGGCAGGCTCAGAATATTAGCATGCTATGGTAAAAACCGTTGAAGCCATGAGAATAAAATAAAATGCAAATGAGATAAGGAAAGGCTATGGATAGGAAAAATTTAAGAAGAACAAGTGATAGAAAATGGTTGTGTATTCTCAAAAATGGCCAGATTACCTACCTTACAGTTTCAGAAGTTAACAAATTTCCTTGTTTTACTTTTACACTGATGTCATAGATGTGATTCATGATAGCCAGATTACATCAGTTATAGTCATTATATGAGATATGGTCAAAATAGTCAACGTATTTTATATAAAAATTTTATTACAGTGGAAGATATATTGCCATCAAACCTCCTCAAAATATTCCCTTTACTTAAACACATATCCTATACTTGCTACTTTTTCAAGCAGTTTTGCAAGTCTTCTTTCATGAGTGTCTTAATAGGGTGTAATAAAAAATGCTATGAGTGCTGCTGCTGAATGCCATCCAGTGAAAAGGCAGCTGATAAAAACATTGTTGTGTGTCCTTATCCTCCTTAGCTACCAGGTATGGCCCTGGAAACTTCTGACTCTTCCTGAAAGTCCTGGTCTCAGTGACCATGACATTCAGGACATCAAGGCAGTCACACAGTGTGTCTAAAGATGCTCATGAGAAAGGACTACTAGAACTTCAGAAAGTGGCACAAGTGTATTTAAAGTGAGGGGGAGCTGGACATGATGGTGCATGTCTATAATCCCAGTACTTGGAAGGCTGAGCTGGAGAATTACCATGATTTCAAAGCCAGCCTGGATTGCACAGTGAGATCCAGTTTCAAAAAAGAAAAGAAAAGACTATATTGATGAAGATTAATAGCATGTGTCTTTTAATGTAGTTTTATTTTATAATTTAAACATTTACCATAGTTTTTAATCCCATCTTGTATCCTATATGTGTGATTGTTGCTAAAGAAGTTAATGTGTTAGATCAGCACTTCCGGTAGCAGTTAATGTGGTAATTGCTCTTCGACTGTGATTACCCCACTTTTGACATTTGTGCATCTTCCAGTCACCGTCTTTACATGTGTTATATCTGGCAGGGTCATTTCTTCACTTTCAGTATCCTTTAATTTATTCATTCTTTCTTATTTTTAGCAGAGTTTGAAAATGTTGCTGGTGAGATCTCCAAAGCTAGATGTGGGATCTGTGATGAATTCATATATTACTTAGCTTTGAAATAAATTTTTAAGTTATGTTCTGACATGTTCTGACTGAAAGCAGTCCAAAAGATACCCTTGAATTTGTTTGGTATTTTGTTTGTTTTCCTTTTTCTATAATAAATGCTTTACTGAATTTCTGTAAATTTTGTATTTAATTTCTGCTCAGATTTGAAGCTGAAAAGTCTTTAGATATGTTTAGAGCATTGCAGTATACATTAGCAACACAGTTAAATCTTCTGTAGGTGTGTGATGAAGTTATTAAGCCAACCTGCGTGTAGCCCACATCTCAGTTTGTCTAGTTCCACAGGCAGCCATGATAGACAGGTATGATATGGGGCTCATTCAGACTCCATTAGCACACATTTCCCACATCTCTTGCTCTCGAATGCAAAACTATTCCCATTTTATATTATTCTTCAGTATTCTTATTCTCATGTTGTTTGCAGAGAGAAATAGATTCATTCTCTCTACTTAACACTGAATTTCTTATCCTTAGCAACTACAAGACACTCCAAGCAAGCTTACTGAAGACAACAAAGAACAACTAGAAGGCATTTTTCTCACTGAAAATCTCCATAAGTAAGCAGGCAGATGCTACATACTATGTTGTAGAAGCCCTGGATACCACCCTATGATACCATGTGCAAATGATTGTTTCCTCTCTGATTCACTGAATCACTGTTATTTTCCCAAACAACACTAAATATTTGTTTGAGGTGATCCATCCATGTTCTTTTTCCTTCCGTTCTTTTCTGTTTCATATATGTACTATATGTATTTCCATTGTTAAAAAGATGACAAGAGTAACAAATAAGTACTTACTTTAGATTCTACATTTGGGACCCTGAGCCTTGTAGTGAGAGTTACAGGTGCCTGTAGTGATGCTCAGAGAACCAGCAGGAGAGAAGCAAGGGATGAGGACGGCATGGGTGAGGTGGGCCATTCAAAGTCCATCTCCAGATGACACAGATGGGACTCAGACTGGTTCAGCACAGGCTTTGCCACATCAGTCCTTCACATTGCCCATTTCCCTTTAATTATGGCTTCTCTTTGTTTTCCTCTCAGAGCCGCCACTTAATTTTAACCAGATTGACTCAGTATAACAACAAACTCAGAAATAAGGCCCAAATAGTTAAAAAAAAGTTGCATTGAAATTTATCCTAATTATAAAACATTTTCCCATTTTTTCTATGGGAAATCCAAACAAATTTTTTACTAATTTGAGTATATAAATGTTTTAGGATCGAGATTTATTAAACATTTAGTTCTAAGTTTGTCTTCATTGTGTATTGACATTTAAAATCATGTGCTAAATGTACTAGTAATATTTTTACATTCTCACGTTTTATGGACACTGTTCAAAATGATCTTCAAGATTATGAGAGCTGGGGCTGGGGATTTAGCTCAGCGGCATAAGCACCTGCCTTGCAAGCAGGCGGTCGTGAGTTCGATCCCTGGTACCGATAAAAATGAAAAAGACAAAAAAAAAAGATTATGAGAGCTACATTTTGAGTTAATTAACACATTCCTAAGCACTTTACCTTTTCTTCCATCCAGGTTGTTTAAAGGAAGTACTACTCTGCCATAAAGATAAACTTGAGCATCCATAGGTAAATGGATACAACTTGAGACCATAACATTAAGTGAAATAAGTCACACACATAAACTTAAATATCAGGTGGTTTCTCTTATATGAGAAATTCAAATATTGATAGAGAGCTAGGTTGATAGATACATAGGTAGATAGAGGTATAGATAGAGCAATTAGAAGATAGATAAATAGGAAGTAGGATTCAAATGGATGGGGGAACAAAAAAACGGAGGGCAGGAAAGGAATGAAGAATTAAAAGGAAAGATGATGAAAATTTCACTTTTGCACATGGAAAGGGGACCAGAGTTGGAAGGAACAAGGAGGGAGAGAAGGGGGAAGGGACCAAAGATTAAAAATAAAAAAAGTTGTATTATGCGTGTAACAACTCCCCACAATAAATATAATTATTACATACTACAATAAAAAAGAATACTAATAGAAGATAATCATATGTAAAATACTGTCATTAGAAGTTACATTCTAATCATAAGTATCTATAACTGCAGATTTATTCTAACAGATAGTGTATTGCTTTTGAAGTCTCTTTAGAGGCTTATTAAAAACAGCCTTTGGTGCTAGCAGCTGTGAGGTGATGTCCCAGGAACAATGACTCTGTGTTCAGTTTCTTGATTATGGTATGAATGCTTTTAGTTTTTTAGATGCATGCTGTACGTATCTAAAATTAGTATTAAGGATGTTTTATAATATCTTTTTTAAATAAAAATCTTTTTATTCATCAAAATAGAAACCCTGTTTTTTTGAAAGAAAATAGAAACCCTGTTTTTTTGTGCTATTAAGTGGTTTTTTTAAAACAAAACCCATCAGTGAATGAGGCTTCTTCTTTTTTTTTTTTTTTTTGTCTTTTTCTTTTTTTTTAATTGGTACCAGGGATCGAACTCTCGACTACACACTTGCAAGGAAGGCGCTTATGCTGCTGAGCTAAATCCCCAACCCCAAATGAGGCTTCTTACTCTATAGCTTAGTAACAGAGATTCTCTAAGATGCAATACAAGTTGAATATCACTTATCCAAAAGCTTTCACCAGTACTGTTGATTTTATATTTTTAGAGATTTTAAAATATTTACAGATTGATGAATGAATAGATAGATATCTTGGGGACAGGACCCTAGTAAATATGAAGTTCATTTATTTTTTATATGTACCATTAACTCAAGATAATTTTATAAAATATTTTTAATAATTTTTACATAAAACAAAGTTTCATGGCATGAATTTTTTTCTATTTGTGCCATGTTGGTGGTCAAAAAGTTTTGGATTTTGGATTTCAGATTCTTCAAATTAGAGATGCTAAAACTTGTGTTTAACAAAGTACCTACAATTCTAATGGCCATGATGCAGATGGTTAGTGTTTATTGAAAGAATGAGAGGAAAATGTTTTCAGTCTATATAAAGCTATAGGGGTAGGAAATGTTCTTAGACATAGATTTGGGAGATCAGAAGAGTACTTTATGTATCTTCTGAATTAAAAAGTTAATTATATGAAATTATTTGGGGAATATGAATCCCAAATGTATTTTTACCAAAATCTATACATTTTCTGATTTTTACTCTAGGGTAGTTTTGTCAGAGGAGGAACTGAACTTCAGAGGTGAACCAGGTAAGATAGTAGATGTATTGGTTTGAAATGGTCATGTTTTAAATGTAAGAACCATTTATCAGAACCTGTGTTAATATCCATTCAATTTTTCAAAAATTAAGTCACGTTATAAGCTTGTCTTGTATACTGATTAATCTTCCAAAGGGCTGGGGGTGTAGCTCAGTGGGAGAACTATGTGAGACAGTAACCAAAAAACCATCCCCAAACCTAATTTTATCTCTATTATTTTATATATCATAAAACTCACTCATATCCAGGGTACAAGTCAGATGTTTTTATTGACTACTGAGAAGTGCAGCCATTTCCATAAATCAGTTGTTTCCTCAGTGAGATCCTCTATACCCATTTGCCATAGTAATCCCTGTTTCCATCCTACACCAACTACTCATCTACCGTTGTACTTAAATTTTCCATTTGGGACATTTTCTCATTTTTTTTTTTTTTTTTTTTTTTTTGGTGCTGGGCATCAAACTCATGACCTCACATTTGCTAAGCAGGCACTTATGCCGCTGAGCTAAACCCCTGGTCACCATTTTCTCATTCTTAATCTTTCTTTCCTTCCTTCCTTGCTTCTTTCCTGTGGCATTGGGAATTGAACCGGGGCCTTTCCACTAAACTACATCCCCAGCCCTTTTAACTTTTTGTTTTGTTTTGTTTTTTTGTTTTTGTTTTTTTTTTCCTTTTTATCGGTACCAGGGATCGAACTCACGACCGCCTGCTTGCAAGGCAGGTGCTTATGCCGCTGAGCTAAACCCCCAGCCCCTTAACTTTTTGACATAAGATCTCAGTCTTCCAGAGTGGTGAGATTATGGGTATGCACCATCACACCCAGTTTGGACATTTCATTTAAATACAATCATCCAGTGTGTGCTGGTCTTGTGTTTAGCTTCTTCATTTCATGTAATACTTATGAGGTTCGTTTATGATATAGCTTATGTCAGCAGCACTTCACTTCTGTTGTTGACTTATAGTCCATTGTATGACCATCTACAAATTTTGATATTTTGATTACCACTCATACTTTAAAATTTTAAACATATATCTCCGATGACTCATGGTTGTAGTTGATTTTGAAATGTGTTTCTGAACTTGCCAAATTACAGAGATATGATAATTCATTTCTGTTATTTTAACTGAATCACATTATTGTCAGAGAATGTATTATGATACTTGTTTTTTGAATTATTGGTACTAAACTTATACAAGTAGCCAAATTTCATATAAGTTCCTTATACTTGAGGAGAATGAATATTCTCTAACTCTTGAATTCAGAGTCATATGTATACTTTATCATTTGAGTTGTTCTGTTTTCTATATCTTTATACATTTTTTATTGTTTGGTTTATCAATAGTTGAGAAATGTTTTGAAACCTCCCCACTGTTAAAAGTTAGATGTTTCAGTATCTTCCTGTAGTTTTTCAGGATATATTTTGAGGATTTAGTGATGGCGTTTACAAGTTTAGAATTTTTGTATTTTTTGAATGATTTAATTTTCAATCCATTATACAGTGACCCTTTCTGTTTATATTAACATTCTGGTTTAAAAAGTCTGCTTTGTGCACTGGGGATTTAGCTCAGTGGCATAAACGACTGCCTGGCAAGTGCGAGGTTGTGAGTTTGATCCCTGGTACAAAAAAAATCTGCTTTGTATGTGTGTTAATCAGCTTTCTGTTGCTGGGACAAAATACCTAACGTACACAATTTAAAGGAGAAGGAATTTATTTCAGTTTCTTTTCAGAGATTTTAGTTTATGGTCAGCTGGTTCCAGGGCAGAAATACCATACAGAGTGGTGTGGCACAGAAAAGCTGCTCATCATTCTGTGTGGTTGGAAGGAGAGAGAAGGGGGGCGGGTGAGATGAGGGGTACGGGAGAGCACCAGCCTTTAGAAGCAAACCATCAGAGACTGACTTCCTCCAACTGGCCTGCTTCCTACCAGCCTTCAGCTGTGCACTCATGCGAGGATAGACCCAGTCACCTTCTAGAAGCCACACCTCAGAACACAATGTTCCCCCAAAGGGAACATTTGTGATGCAAGCCTTAAGAGTATACTGGTATCCCTTAAGTGCTGGCTTTTGGTTAGTAATCCCTTATGTACCTTTTTCCATGTTTATTTTCAATTTTCCAATTCTTTGTATCTTTCTTAGATATATTTCTCATAAATAAGATTTGCGTTGGTTAAAAGGCAAATGTGCCAAATTTTTTTACTTCCTTTTTTTAAAAAATTTTATTTTGAAAGTGATAAAATACAACAGAACAAGACAGAATAAAGCCAACTAAGATCATACAGTGAAATTGGTACAGAACTTCACAGCAGGTTACTGGGATAACAGTAATAGGGTATCACAGTATATTTCGTTATCTTTATAATAGTTGTTCTTTCAATCACATATATCAAAATGAGATGAAATACAGAACATTATAGAACTTACCAAAGCAGAATATTGAATAGAGCTGTACCATTAATCAGAATAGAGCAAAACAGTAATAAAAATATTTGCCTTCAAAGAGATGGTAGAAGAAAATCCCCCGTATTTGCTATGGTCAGCCTCCCAGGAGATGCTCAGATTTCTGGTTCCCATTTGCTAATAGAGGGGGGGGGCTGGAGAAGGGGCATAGGGAAGTGGGATGTTTGACTCTAGGCTGTGCACCAGTAGGTTCACTATTGCTTAGCAGGGAGACAGGCTGGTTGTTTGATTTCACTGCGTCCTAAGTTCCAACATGGCGCGAATCTCAACAGCTGCTATTGGTTCTCCCCCTGGAAGGGCCGCAGTCTGCCACACCGCTACTGCTTACCAGGGAGGGTGGTCTACTTCCTTTTTTTTAAGACAGGGTTACTAGATGTTCAGGTTGACTTGAACTCACTTATGTTGCCTAGCCTGCCCTCAAACCTGCAATGATCTTGCAGCCTCAGCCTACTGAGTGCTGGTATTACAGATATGAGCCATGATGCTTGGCTTTTAATTGTTTTAATTGAGTTTATAGTCCACTTGTTTTTATTGTCATTATTTATATTTAACCTTTGCTTTCTGTTTTCTATTTTATTCTTCCACTCCCATCCCTTTTTCTGTGTTTGGACTTACTATTTCAGGTTACAGGGGTTTTCCTTTTATTCTTTTTCTTTTCTTTTCTTTTTTTTTTTTTTTTTTTTTTTTGGTACTGGGCCTCAAGCTTGGGACCTTGCACTTGCCAGGCAGACACTATGCTGCTGAGCTACATCCCTGGCCCCTTATTTGTGTTTACTCTTTTTAGTACTCTTTTTTTTCCTGGGAACTGGTTTGGAAGTTATATATTTTATTTTTAGTTTTGGTAGCTTTTCTCTTAAGTTTTATTCTGCCTACTTAATAAAATCTCAGGTTTATCAATGTAGTATTCCCAGAACATTACAAAGATTGTAGAAAACTAATCCCAATCATTTTTATGCCATCTCAAAAACTATTATTGTCCAATATTTCATTTCTTTTTTCTAATTTCTCATAAACTAGGACATTATTTTTTGTGTAGAAATACTGACTTACCAGTATTTCTCCTCTCTTGCTGTTTCTTCCCATACTTCAGATCTTCATTATGAGCTTGTTTTTCTTTTTCTTTAACTATATGCTTTAATTTAAAGGTTCTCATTGAAGATCTTTTGAAGGGTAGGCTCGGCTTATGTGTATTTAGAAATAATTGTTATTTCTCCATTTCTCCTTTTCAAAAGAGAGTTTTACTCAATACCAAGATTGCTTGGTATTTTCTTTCAGTGCTTAAAAATGTGGCTCTGTTTTCTGCCTTCTCCTTTCACAAGGATTTGTTTTGGCAAAGGATGGTGTTTCTGAGTATCTTAATTGACTGGATTTCCAGATAGTGTTTTCCATTGGTCACATTAATTAGAACATTTTGAAAATGTCAGTATCCCTGGGACCAGAATAAAACCAGTACAACTTGTAAGAATGAAAACTGAGACAAGTTATTTAAAACATGTAAATATCCTACACTTTAATTTTGCATTAAAGACTCTTGAGGAAGTCACTTGACATGATTTAAAACATTTATGGTCTGAGATATTTGCACAGCCTTTGGAGATTGCACTTTCTCTTGTGCTTGGCTTGTTTCCAATTTTTTTTATAGTTTCCAATCTTATACATCTATCATGAAAATAACATGAAGTCAAATCCCCATGAAGTCCAATAAAACCCATAGTCGGGAAAAGCAGATCATAATTGAAGATTTTGGGGAAGCCCAAGAAGAGATTATCTTCCTTTCAGACAGCAGTACATCCATCAAGATCCTTCAGCACATCTTTCTCTTCCCACGGATTCTAGTTCTGCTGCTTATCAAACTTTTACAAATGTGGGTCTGCCTTCTCTCTGTTGCCCATTTTTTCTTCCCTCCTCCCAACTCTCTAAGCCACCTCCAAAATCTCTTCTCCCTTCCCTGATTTCCCCTATGCTTTTTTTTAACCTATGTTTAACTAAAATCTTTACTGATAAAATCCATTTTTCTTTCTTCTATACTTTTCCAACATCTGTATATGATGTGTTTTAATTTTAAAAATCTAGTTCATCATGTAGCTTCCTTACCTTTTTAAATATTAATTAATTGATAAATTTTTTGGTTTCTTGAGACATGGTCTCACTATGTAGTTCAGGCTGGCCTTCAACTCACTGCAATCCTCCTGCCTCCCAAGTGCTAGAATTACAAGTGTGTGCCCAGCTAGCTTCCTTATCCTAATCCTAAATGTCACTAAGTTCCTTAAAATTTCTTTATAAATTTAGTTTTCCTTTAATTATTTTTGTTGCTTTAATATCTTCTGCTTTTCCCATATTCTTTTTTAGTATTGCACATTGAGCATAGTGTTTGAATATTGTTGTAGTAGAAACATTACGCCTTGGCCTTAGATGTGTTACATCTTCTAAGCATTCCATACCAACAATCTCCACCCTGATATGAAGGAGAAATTTTCATTTTACTTTTTGAAATGGACTTAGTAATGGTTGTTAGATGTTGAAAACATCCCAGC